ATAAGTTTGCAGTATAATTAGATTATTAATCAATTTTCAATAAATTTTTATATAATATTGGAAATATTAGCAATAATATCTGTAATTTTTCATATATATCGAAACATGCATTTCTTTTCTAGAATCTTATGAAAAAGATTTCCATCTTTATGAAAAAAGTTTCGTAAAACTTATATTAAGATTTCAACGAAATAAAACAATAATATTTGAGTTAATACATAGCATCAAATTTATTTATGTTAATAATATTAGTTTTAGAAGCTTTCATTAATTTTTTTTAACAAATTGTTAAAAAATATCGGAATATAAAAGATTAATAATTTATTATAGCAAGAAGATAGCAAAAATCACATTTATCTAAAAATAAATTCATTCAGAATATTATTTTCAATGTACATCTATCAGGTTAATGTACCATTTGATTTTATTTTATATAAGTATCGTTTAATTTAATTTATTGTTTCAATTAATTACTTTATGATGTTAGAAACATTGTTTAATAATTTTTTCCTTATTTAAGAAAGATACAACTCGAATAATCGATGCCAAGCAGATGTAGGGCGAATTTTCTAGCACGAAGAAGTATCTTTTTCTTTTTTATAACAAGAATGTATTTCAACGCTGCAATATGATCTTCAAACATATTTTTATCCATCTACTTACGACTAATACGATCAGTTAGCGACCTCATCTGGATCGGGCTTGGATTAAAATTGTTTTTGAACGAACGCCAAGATATTCTTCTAGCGGCGAGAATATTTTATATCAGACATCGAACATCTATCCAAAGAATTAGTTCGTACGACTTTACGACATTTTATTCATTTATTTCCAACGCCTGCAATAAATTAAGATTGATACATACTCTGGAAGATTGAGATACTTATTCAAATGCTAAGAGGATTAATATCAAGATATAACAAGAGAATAACTTATAATCGATTTAACTAAATTAAATTTATTCCGTATGTTATATAAACATATATAATATACATAATATGAAAAGAGATAAGTTTTTACAAGTATGAATTATTTTTAAAAAAATTTTTTTCTCAATTATTTAGATCACAATTAATATTTGTAATAATTTTAAAAATTTTACAAAAAATTACGAAATCTAATTTGGTTTCTTTAATTAAGTATCTAATAATTTGTTATATTAGATAGAGTTCAATTGTTTGTAAGTAATCAAGTAAAGAAAAGAAAAATATCGAAAAAAGAAAAATACATCAATATAGAATATACGTATTTCATTCGTACAAAGTTTTTATAATACGTAAGTATATATACAATAATGATAACATTAA